CTGAGATGGCAGGACAAAGTGCCGACCTTGGAACTATGGAGGAAAGCTAGGCAGGAGCCTATAGGTGTGCAAATAAGAAGGAGGAAGTGGCGCTGGGTGGGTCACACACTGCAAAAGGCTCACACAAATGTTACACGCCAAGCGCTTGAGTGGAACCCCCAGGGAAAGCAGAAGAGAGGGCGCCCAAGACAGACCTGGAGGCGGAGTCTTCTTGAAGAACTGAAGCCAATAGGGATGTCTTGGGAGATGTCAAAATTAATAGCCGAGGATAGGAAGAAATGGAAGGAAATGGTGGAGGCCCTATGCTGCATAAGGAGCAAAGAGGACTAAGTCAAGTAAGTCAAGTAAGTCAAGTCTTAAACTCGACAAATTATTTTCAAGTTCTCTGGATCTGCAACTTGTATAGCATTGCTTCTAAAAATATTAAATTTCTCAATTAGTTTTAGGCTTAAGTTTTTAATAAAATTTTATCTTTTATTATTTTTACGATCCTAAAACTAAGAAAGCACATTTTTATTCCATGTCAACAACAATACGGAAGGAATCTCGTCAACTAGCTGGTGTCCATTTGCCATTAGGGCCTAAGGTAGCGATGTCGGCATCGCCGCCATCTTGCTTTAAAGAACGGCAACCGGGGAATTTCGCTATTGTAAAATTTCGTCGAATATCTTCCTTATTGAAATAAATAGTGAGAAAATATAGGGATTTTAGAGTAATCGATTCAATTTCATAGTCGGGCCAACTTTTCACCAATTTAATGAAATAATGTGTGATTTTAAACTGCTTACTGTATTACTTTTCTCTCTTCCTTCTCCAAGTTATAATATTGCGAAACATGGTCTAATTTTGTGCGTGTTTCAACGACAACTGTTGATAGAAAGGTGAGTTTATCAAGCTATCTCTTTGTATTCTCAAAAATTACATTATGTATATTATAAGTTAATAATGATTTCATCTAATTTGAGGTACGTTTTCTAGTGGTATTTTGACCGAAAAAAAAGGTGTTTGATTCACCACAATAACGCCATTTTATAATTAAAAAATATGGCGAGACCGGAAAACCTATAAGGGCGTGGGGGCCGGCGTCGCCTTTATAAATGTTCACTTGTTCCTTAATCGTAGAGTTTATTGCAAATGAATGATCGCCTTTTAAAAATAAAAGATGTATAAATATGTTAAAGGCTGTTGAAGAAAGCCAGTGGGGTTTTTTTTTGCACATCAAGCTAATAACCAATAATAAATTACCACTCAAGAATAGAAATTATTTTAAGCATATATTTCCTTATCCCTTACTTTATTATGCTACACACATGTCTCTATTAAAACAATAAATTCTACTTTTACAGTAGTATTAATGTTGATTTCTTTTCCTCTAGATATATGATCAAGAGTATGGATGAGGAAATAAATACTTTAGCAGGTGGTAATTCTGAAGGCTCTGGGAGCCCTGATAAGCATTCTGCCAAAGATTTACCAATTCTGATTAATCAGTATTCTGACTTTCGGACAGCAGCTGTCATAAAGCAAGACCATATAATTTATGTATGGTATGAAAATAAAAAACAAATTAAATAGGCAGTGCAAGTTTTGGAAGAAATAATACCAGCGTCAAGTAACAGTCATCAACTTTATAATAAAATCAACAGATTATGTGTTAAATTTAGATCTCTTAAGCCACAAGCACAATGGGATTAAATTATAAATTTTATGGAACTGCCATTTCAAGAGCCTGTACCTAAAGAAAAGGGGATTGTCTCTAAGTTAGCACCTGAATTAATAACAACAATAATCCCCCCAAAACAAGCCTCACCTTTAAAACTTAAACAAGACTGTGTAAGTTGTGCATACAAAAGAAAGTCTACAGAACAGTTATTGAAATCAAATTGAAAACTAGTTTAAAATTCTATCAAAATGAACTTCAATCAAATAAAGTTTTTCAAATTAAAGATCTAAATAAAAAATTAAACGACTCACTGACAGACTCCTCAAACAAGAGAAAAAGAATAGACAGTTGGAAGCAGAGAAAGTAGAGGTTAAAAAAAAAACTTAACTGCAATCCGTTTGCAGATTCCATCCAATACAAAATGAAACTGAATCAAGTTGCCAGTTTAAAGAAAAAAATTATCAAGAAGAGAAAGAAAAATTGAAGCACTAGAAAATCTGGTCAAGATCAAAAACAAAACCATCAAAAATTTAAAATCAATGGTCAATGATTTAGAATTAATGTATGATAATGCCATCAACATGTAAGAACCCCAAGAAGAGGGACAAACTATTGTAACCAAAGAAGGAAAGCATTATGGTACTTCTATGAGAATTTGTATGTACCAATCTTTGTTGAAAAATGTTTCTGTGTTAGCTGCTGGACAGCTATTACAGTTTTTCCTGGAGCAAGAAACTGGAATGAAACTTGACTGCGTGCCTCGCAAATCTACAGTGGCTCAAATGGCTTATGAAATAGGCAATTTAGCTGATCTGCAGGTTGGCGAGGCACTTGCATCCCTTGATGGTGCCACACTGTCATGGGATGCAACCACCATTGATGGTAGTCATGTAAATGAAATCCATATTTCTGCTGCAGGATAAACTCTTGCTGTTGATGTAAAACCTTTACCTGGTGGTAAAGCTGTAGATTACATAGAACATATTAGTGTTAAGTTAAAAGATATTGTAAACATTTATTGTAAATACATAAATCATCCAAATTTAGAGCAGCTGTATAAAACTCTTATATTCACCATTAAATCCAATGTGACAGATAGGGCAGCTGTGAATCATAGTGTTGTAAACCAGCTTAATACTTTGTTACAGACACACCTGCTGGAATTGAATTGCAATGTTCATCCCCTAGATAGTTTTGCTGCTGGTGCCAGAAGAGCATTGGAAAATGATACTGAGATAGGCAATAAGACATTGCACTGTATTTTGAGTATTTCCAAGCTCAGATACAAGCAATCCAGTGGAGACCCTAGCGGGTTCAAGACCTATTTTAGAGAAAAAGATATTCCAGTGGGAGTTTTCCTTCGGTACGTCGGTAACCGGTTGCACATTTTATTCCATTCAGCTGGAATTATAATTTTATTTCTGAAAGAGCTGAAGAAATTTGTTGAATTAGGAGGCACCAACCTTAAAAAAAGCATTAAGGAAGAGCTGGATGACCCTAGGGTTGTAGCTCAATTAATTGCACTCGGGCTCATCGGGAAAACAGTCACAGGGCCATGGATGACTAAATTCTATGCAAATTCAATGAATTTAGAAATGGTCCCCGTGATCCAAAGCTCTAAAAATATTTTGGATAGATTTGCTGCTGAGCCAGAAGAGTTGTTATGTCCCACTGTGAATGTTTTTAATGAACCCATTGATGCAGCTTCAGACATGGTGCTGACAGCAATCATCAACAATATTGAATCCCACAGGGGTAAAGTAAAGCAAACTTTGAAGCAAATATTACATGAAATTGTTAAGGTCTTTGACCGCCAGTTTGTTCGATATACCAGTGGCGACCTTTCTAGCCCTACAGTTGAGCAGTTGACACAAGCTTCAACTGCTCCTTCACACAACATGGCAGCTGAGAGAATATTAGGAATGACTGACTATTTATGGCGTCGGGCCCCTAATGCGACAGCTGGTTTTGTAGACGGAAAGGTTAGAGGACAGACAAATCATTTTGATACAGTAGGATGGCTTCTGCAACAGGACAAAACGACCCAACATAGATTAGTTTATTTTGCAATGACAGAGGGTTACAGAGCAAGGGAACTTGCAGCCCAAAGGAAGAAGATGATGGAAGCAGTGATGATGCGTCGAATGCTAGAAGCTGGTCAGAAACATGAACAATCCAACCGTAAGGCTCTAGAAAAAGGGGTTGCTATGGCTTTGAGTGCTAAAGATCTGAATGCTAGTGTGTTTTCATCTGCGTCTCCTGAAGTTATGGGCCTCATTGCAATGCATATTACTACAGAAAATCCTATGTCTGAACTGACTGAAACCTATACAGGACATCTACTTAAGCATTTATGGACAGAGGAAGGAGTTGATAAAATGTATTCTGGCAGAGTAGTAAATTTTAAGCAACAGAAGACTAAGACAGTGAAATGTACAACTACTTACTGGGGACCTGATGAATTGGAAACTGACAGTGTTGACTATGACATGACAATGACATCTCTAGTCACTGATTTACTGACAGGTGACCTTGTGTTTAGTAGCTAGGATGACAGTAGTAGTCCATGTTGTACAAAGCTTAACTTGGTACAAGTCTCACCTGTTATTGTATTGATGTAAGCTATGTCTACCTTAAAAGTTTATTGTTTTGGTGTATATATTAAGGTAAAAATTTAGAGAAAACCCTTGATATTTCATAGTATCCGCCGCCAACCAATCAAACGCGCGCTTTCAACGCGTTTTGGTTGGCGGCTGACGTCACGATGACGTCACGCGACCCGTAAACACGGCGTTTTTGGAGCTAAAAAGGGCCGAAAAAGCCATTTTTTCTACGTGTTCGGATTTTTTTACGTTTTTTAAAATGGGCCCGAAAATGACCCTTTTTTAGAAATGGACATAGCCATTTTTTCGAAGAATTAATTCAAAAAAGGGCTGTTTTGAGCTATGTTTCGATGTAAACAAAGGCCCATGTCAACACGTGTCAAACCACGTGAAGGCACCCGATCGACGATTTCGGTCACGAATGAGTGGTTTTCGTACGTTCTCGTGAACTAAATACCAGTTTCGTGACAACAAATTGGAAAACGACAATTTCGTGAAAATAACGACCCTGGAGGAATGGCTTTTGAAGATTATTAAATAAAAATCGATGTATTGGCTACATGTGTTGATTCTAAAGTTGTCTATAATTGACTAGTAGGGCATGCTGAAACAACGGCCTTAGGGCACCGTGTAGTGTGTAGTTTCGCTAAATCATGAAATGTAAATTAATCAGCCCGGCCGCAGATCGACCGCAAACTGTTAAATTGGTTGAATGTGAAAAGCATACTACTTACAAATTACTTTTGAATATTCACATCACACAAAATAATCCCAAAGAAAGCACAAAATAAAATCCGTTAGAAAAGCATCACCATGAAATTTGAAAACCACAGTATGTCAACCTTAACCAGCCATCTTTGGCTCGATCTAGAGGTCATTCTTTAGCCTACATATGAGTCTTGCCAATAAATTTAGTTTCTGATGGTACACGACATTAGATCAATATATTAATTAACAAACTAACTGAATTCCAACATACTATCACTCTAATCCTAAAATGAAACAGAATTTGAAGCACAATGATCTAACGAATAAATCCCACTCTAAGTAAGTGTCGCAGCTCTAATCCTGGATACAACCGTAGTGTGTAGTCGTGTTGTGAGTAAACTTGCACGAGATAAAACACCGACCTAGACCTTCCTGATGCTGTGTATGGCCCCAAAGTGAAATGCTGGGAGTAGGGGAGGGGAATTTAACAGCAGAATATTTTTTTTTCAGTAGTTACGTCACCAGTAGTTCACGCATCCTAACGGGGTTGAAAGTGTAACTTTATATTCAACTAGGCAAAAGGTGGAGGGTGGTGTCTTTCTAGTCGAAGAATACGGGGAAGCCGGCATTTGAAGCCGGCATTTCATTATTGTCATTGCTATTGAGTACAACCCTTTATTCTAGTTAAATGCATGACTAGGCTACTCATTACACAATCTAAAAAATGTCGTTGTGCTGCCATGCAAAAGTAGCCTAATATTTCTACTGAATGGGGTAGGTATTTGACTTTGTTTATTTAAATGCAGATACCATTAGCCTTAACATATTTGGATGCACATTTCAGTTATATCGTAAGGATTAATTTTATAATACAATGCATATATTCTGACAGTCCTTCAAGTATTAGTAGTTATTGCCTATTGGACTATTCATAACTTGTATTTCAAAGATTTATAATGAGCGGGATGCACTCGATGTTTTAAGTTCTACATTCTGTAGCTGTTACTTTGTGCATGACAGCATCCCAATAGTTCAATGTTAATAATGTAAACTGAGCTTGACGAGACTCCCATCGCCAAGCAATCGTATGATGATAGACCCAGCAAGCATCACTCGTTATATTCGACAACATGGCTATACCAGTCCTTGATTTTCATTACTGCCTTGAAACGCCTAGATCTTGGTTTTGAAAAAAAAAACGTCTCCCCCCCCCCCCCCACCCCTTTGCGCTTGCGCCGACGTCATCATAGGCCAATATCACGGTGCATTTTTTTTTCACCGAGTATAACACACCCCCCTCTCCCCCTCACAGCAAGCGCCAACAACGGTCACCCAAGGCCCAAGGCCAATAACACGCACCACGGTGGATTTTTTTCAATGAGTATATACTCTACCCACCCGCCGCCTTACAGCATACCGCTAGTCTTTACAAATGGGGTTAAAAGTTTAACTTTGAGTTCAATAAGGGGAGAGGATGGTATTGAAACAACGATGTTCTTTAATATGTTTAATAGTACAAATACATAGTAAAAAAATATACTTACCTACTTCTATAGCATCATACATAATTTTATAATTAGCAAATTAATTAATTAATTAAATATATCTAATGATAATGAAGGGAGATAGTTTATTTTGGTTAAGGCACGACACACAACACTATGCGTGCGTGGTATGTGGCCTGACCGACCGAAAGGAGATTGTTTATATTATTGTTTTGAGTTTATATTTAACTCTATGCAACGAGCCCGCCGGTTGGTTGAGGCCATGCCGGGGGGACGATCTGTCCGGGATTCAAAGGGTCGATTCTAAATATCATCCAAGTTATTCTACTTGTTGTGTTGCTAATAATAATAGTTTTTAAAGACAACCATTCAGTAAATAAAACTCCTGGCTTGCCAGTGGGCCTAAGATAAATTGTTCGGTTTAATTTATTAAAAAAAAAATTAGTGCCTACTACCTTTTTATTCAGTTTGTTCTGCTACTGACAAGTCTATTAATAATTAAATTAATAAATGTAATTCAAACATGCTGAAGTAAGATCATGCAGAGTTTTAACATTGTACCTTTAAAAACAACTGAGCAGTGCTACTTAGAAATTAGGGCCCAAAAGTGGCGTAATACATCCCTTTGAGGAGTACTAATTATTCTGCTCCCAGTGAATGAATTAATGATTTCAATTAATATTTGTAATTCAAACATGCTGAAGTAAGATCCTGCAAAGTTTAAACATTGTAGTTTTAAAAACAACTGAGCAGTGCAACTTACTTAGAAATTAGGGCCCATAATAGCCGTAATGTATCCACTTAAAGGAATACTAATTATTCTGCTCCCAGTGAATGAATTAATGATTTCCATTAATATATGTAATTCAAACATGCTGAAGTAAGATCCTGCAAAGTTTTAACATTGTATCTTTAAAAATAACTGAGCAGTGCTATTTCAAAGTTAGGGGACAGTGATTTTCATGACTTACAATTTACTTACATAGAAAATTTCTATAATAGAAATATAGTGGACATTCACCAATTAAGTAAAAAATTCATTAAAAAAAAACTACTGAAGCTAGAAAGAAAATTTTTTCAGTGTTATTTAGTTACATCAAGCACAATATTTTTGCAATGCTCATACATTTAATTAGCCAATTTTAATTTTTTTTAATGGAATGCCTAGCCTAGCCCTAATAATTCCTAACCATAAAATTAAAATTAGTCAATAGTCAGGATTACAATACTAACAACCCAACACGCCTTTTTTAAAGAAGATTCCATTATCAGACACTGGTATCTATAATCATCCGAAGTGTTTAGTTCGTTTTAAACTAAATTACTTAATTTATTATTTATTGTCACTCACTGCCATTCACAACACACCTCTCCTTGACAACTCTTCTTACGTTTCAATCTAAAGCAAATCACAAATCGGCTACACTTTTTAAGTGGCCTTGCACCCAGAGTTCCTCACTAGTGATCATCAAATAGCGGTCACATGGTTTTAAAAAAAAATTTGGTTGTCATTCAAAAGCCATGTTTTATAAAAAAAAAAAGTTGTTAGCAAAATTTGATTTATTTTTTCACAGAATGATAACCCTAATAGTTCTACAACCTCAAATTCATTTTTGTAACCTCCAGGCTGATATTTGAAAAAGTTCTATTAATTTTAATGAGATCGACTTTAAAATTTAGCCTTCTTTCTCCAAAGCAAATTTTAAAATGCTTTTCTGGCATATTTAGCCTTGCCGCCTTATAACACGAAAACCCGCCATTTTGCTCGTGGTAAACATTTTTATAAGTAATTCTAAGAAGGTCTCTCTAACTAAGACAAAAAAACCGTCGGAAGTCATTCATCCGGTCCGTACGCCATATTGTTGTTAGCAAATTAATTTTTATCAACCCTGTTCGAGATAGTAAATTTGAAATTAAAAACAGCAACCATCTTTAGAAAATATTTAGAGTAGCTTCCCTTTCATTACTATTCGTATGAAACTGTATTTAAATATGATTGTCTTGTATTTGTATAGGCCTACAAAGCATTGTTTTTAAATTCTGCCCTTTAAAAACTGAAGTTACTAACAAACAGCATCATCAATTCTAGAAGTATTGTGATATGCAACTTGTATCCATGTATAAAATCACGTTTTTTTTTGTACTAACGTTTATTTGATCATTACTAGATCCATTATACAGTTTATGTTTTTAGCGCTATTTCCATTCTGGAGAATTGCGATTATTAACTCGACATTTCTGGGAATGGATGTCCGCAGCTTTAAGTCGCTTTAAGTCGTATCTCCTCCTCAACGAAGCAATATCGAGGACTAGTTCCAAAGCAAAAATGTTAAGCAAGTTCCAAGGATGATTGTGGGCCAAAAAAAAATCCCGGTTTCCTTCCTGGATTTCCCGGAAAAGCAAAAAAAAAACTCGAAAAATGCAGTTTTTTGCCCATATCTCGGCAACCAGACCACTTAGCTACTTGAAGCATTTACCAATCGATTCCTGCCATAATTTAGAACAATATTGCCGAAGAAAGTTTTCAAAAATATCCTTTCGTTCGGTCACAAAAAATTAATTTCTTCTAATTTGTATTGGCTAAGATTACTAAGAATATACAAAACCAAGCACACCGGCTGAGGCAGTCGCTAGTGAGAGGTAACGTCTACTTGTACACGCTGCCATTGGTCAGACTCGCGCAGATCTCGCGAGGGGGCGGGGACTAGCTCTGCTCGTGTGGAGAAAAGAAAAGGGGTGCAAACATCTACGGGTGATTCGTTCGGTCACAAAAAATTAATTAAGGAAATTGCGCTTACATTGTCACTAGATTCTATAGTCGCCCCCCCCCCCCCCCATAAATTATTTTTTTTCGAAGAAACCTCGTCGGAAATATTCTCATTAACTCCCCAAAGTTTTATGGCACTCGGATGAACGGTATCAAACCGCATCCGACTTTTTATATACCGTATTGTAGAGAAAAATCGTTTCGCACCTTGCCGGTGCGCCGCTCTTGTGAAATTGAACCCCCCCCCCTCCACACACACAGAAACCTATTCATCAACTCCGCAACGTGTGATGGTGATAGGTAAAAGGTGTAATGTAATAATGCCTCGATTTTTTTTTTTTGCACGATTACAAGACTTTCTCTATACTTCATATATACGAGAAAGTAAAAAATTGAAAAAAGTGTGTTCTATATCAATACTTTTTTACTTTGAGTCTGCGTAAGAAACCTGATTTACGCGAATAGGCCCTAGTATTATTTCAAATTAAATTTATCCCAAATTAGCCAATTCCATAGCTAAACAAACAAAGATGTATATAAAATAATTAAAGTCTGAAATAGTTTAGTATAGAAACTCATTAAGTCTAGTCAAGTCTTTCCATAGTTCTAGATCTAGAGCCTAGATAGCATAAATAAATCCCTTGTATTACTAAATAAGATGATGCTTGAAACTAAAAAGCAAAGATTTATATAGAATATTTAAGGACTAAAACAGTTTAATAAAGAAACTCAATACTTTATTCTGATTTTATAATGGTATTTATTTTTAACTAATTTATTTTGGTTTTACCTAGATTCTAAATCTATAATTATAATTTTTCCTTCCTTAGACAGCTGATGTGTAGATTCTAGATCTAGAGAAATTTATTGTTCACTCAAATTAAAAGAAATGCTGAAAGTTGAACCTAAAAAAAATAGCAAACAGACATATTGTTAATGCTATAGCCGACAGAAAAGTAGCTGTATAATGCTTTATACTTTTGAGTGGGCAACAAAATTTTGTATGGAAGCCGCCATTATTGTTATAAAAAGTAAATAAATCATGTTACGTCACTAAAAGTAATGTCATTGTTCTGAAGTTTTATAATTAAAGTGGATAATCTACCAATGAATATATCAATAAATTAATTATTGTCTTTAAATTAATTTGTGATTAACAGTTTGGTCAAAAAGAACATTGTTCTCTACCTAAATACTATTTTACAGCTGTACACATAGTGCAGATTCTCTCCTGTAACCAAACAGACAAACAAAAAAAAAATACTAACATGTAAACAAACTTGAGTTTTAGTAGTAAATATATATATATATATATATATATATATATATATATATATATATATATATATATATATATATATATATATATATATGCCTAGATCTATATATTATATATATATATTATATAGGCCTATATATATATATATATATATATATATATATATATATATATATATATATATATATATATATATATATATATATATATATATATATAAACAGCTGATCCAACACTATTATAAAAAAACAGACGTGTTTTTGTTCTCAATCAGTAAGCCTAGAAAAACGGAATAAACACTTTTTGATTAATTAATAACTGAAAATATTCATTATGTCTTAAAAAAGATAAATAAACATCCAATCATTTCACAAAGGCTAATAATCATAATAAATTGTATCTTCTGTCATAATAATTTAATCATTTTCAGCTACATGAATTAATACATTTTGTTGCTCAATTCAATTATCATAATTATGATTAACTAAATGGATTATATAATTATTTATACAATTTAGAATTACATAAAATAAAACATTCAATATAGAAAAATTTAGAGTAAATATTACTTCAATGATTCAACTTATAAATATAATTGTACATTTAAAATGTTGGTGTTTATTAGTGGTTAGTATTATTGTATGGGTATTAATTGTATGGGTAATGTAAAGGGTAAGAATTTAGCCATCATATTTTCCAAAAAACCTGAACAAAGCTAGCCATAACACCTTGTACAAGATAATAGATGTGCTATGGTGATTCATGACATCCATTCTTTCCATGTAGTTTTTCTTCCTGTGTGTGAAATGTCTAGATAGCATTTAATCCTTAGTAATACTTTGTATGACAAATAATATGAATGAAGAGTATTATGTCATGTATGACAAACATTAATGGTGTGTATTTAGCCTCCACAATGTGGTATTAGTACAAAAGCAAAAATTTTATATATAGATAATTAAAGATCCTTGTGAAAGAGAATTTAATGACCAACAACACATTCAGGTGGCTTAAAGTCCTGAGTGAAATTTTGTGTGTGTGTGTGTGTGTGTGTACATAAACTAGACTTAAGAGCAAACTTTTTATGACAAATGTCACATTCCAATGGCCTCTGGTAAATGAATATTTTTATGTTTAGATAAGCTACATTTATAATTAAAATTTTTGTGACACACATAACATTCATATGGTCTCTCTGGTAAATGAATATTTTTATGTGTAGATAAATAACCTTTAGAATTAAATTTTTTATGACACACATCACATTCATATAGTCTCTCTGGTAAATGTATATTTTTATGTGTAGATAAATTACCTTTATGATTACCTATTTTGGTGACACACATCACATTAATAAGGTCTTTCTCCTGAATGAATCTTTTTATGTTTTGATAAGTCACTTTTATGATTAAATTTTTTGTAACACACATCACATTCGTATGATCTCTCTGGTAAATGAATATTTTTATGTCTAGATAAATGAACTTTATGATTAATTTTTTTGTGACACACATCACATTCATATGGTTTTTCTCCTGAATGAATCATTTTATGTTGTAATAAATTACTTGTATGATTAAATCTTTTGTGACACACATCACATTCAAATGGTCTCTCTGTTAGTGTTAAATGAATATTATTATGTCTAGATAGATGATATTTACAATTATATTTTTTATGTCACACATCACATTCATATGGTCTCTCTGGTAAATGAATATTTTTATGTTTTGATAAATCCCCCTTATTCTTAAATATTTTGTGACACACATCACATCCATATGGTCTCTCTGGTAAATGAATTTTTTTGTGTGTAGATAAATGACCTTTCTGAATAAATTTTTTTTTACACACATCACATTCAAATGGTTTTTCTCCTGAATGAATCTTTTTATGATTTGAAAAATTACCTTTATGATTAAATTTTTTAAGACACACATCACATTCATATGGTCTATCTGGTAAATGAATATTTTTATGTTTTGATAAATCACTTTTATTCCTATATTTTTTATGGCATACATCACATTCATATGGTCTCTCTGGTAAATGAATATTTTTATGTATAGATAATGTATATTTTAGAGCAAAACTTTTGTGACAAACATTGCATTCATATAGCTTGAGACTAGAATGAATCTTTTTAGAATGAATCTTTTTATGTTTTGAAAAATTACCTGTAGTACTAAATTTTTTAAGACACATGTCACATTCATATGGTCTCTCTGGTAAATGAATATTTTTATGTTCTGATAAATTATGTTTATGCCTAAATTGTTTATGGCAAACATCACATTCATATGGTCTCTCTGGTAAATGAATATTTTTATGTATAGATAATGTAGATTTTAGAGCAAAACTTTTATGACAAACATCACATTTATGTGGCTTGAGACTAGAATGAATAGTTATTTTATGTCTAGATAAATTACCCTTCTTAGTAAACTTTTTATGACACACACCACATTCATACGGTCTTTCGCCTAAATGTATCTTTATATGGTTTGCTAAATACTTTTTAATAGGATATTTTTTATGACATACATAGCATTCATATGGATTATTAATTCCAGAATGAATATTTGTGTGTGTGGATGAACTAGACTTTGTAGTGAACTTTTTAGGCAAACTAGACTTATTGTATACCTGTTCTAGGTTTATTTTGTTAATCTGTTCACCCTGACTGATCATAACTTCTTGCTGATGAAAATCATGACCATATGGATTCACCCTTGTGTGAATGTTTATGTGTTGTTTAACATGATCAAAATGGAAAAATCTTTGACAACACATATCACACTTGTATGTCTTCAGTCCCTTATCATTGATTGGATATTCTGTTGGGAGATTATCAATTAATTTTGTATGCAATAACTTCAGTTCTTTTAATTCATTTTGAAGATCTGATTTTAAAACTGCTAAATTTTCTTTAAAATCAGTTGAATCCGGTGGGGGGAAAAGTTGTTGCTGTGCTTTGAAACCATTTTGTTTTTCACTCTCCAAAGATGAAATTGTTAATATCTCAGGTTTTATATCTTCGAAAATTGAAAATGCTGTTGATATATAAGGTTTCATGTCTTCAGAAGATGAAAATGTTGTTAGGTTATCTTGTTTCATCTCTTCTAAATTAAAAAAAGGCTTTGTTTTATCAAGATTTTTATTTTCTACAGCTAAAAATGGCCTTGTTTCCTTCAAGTATTTGTCTTTAACAGTTGAAATTTGTGTTGATACATTTTGCTTTATATCTTCAGAATTTGAAAAGAGTGTTGATGTATTTGGTTTTTACTCCTCCTGAACTTGAAATAGCTGATATTTCATCTGATTTCATGTCCATAAATGTAATGATTTCATCACTAAATTCCTGTTTAACCATAAATGAGCTCTCCCAGGCTATACCATTAGCGCCCTTTGTGTTTTGCATAGCTTTAGATTGATGAATTATTGAAGAAAAACTGAAAAAAAAATATCTTCATTAGAAAACAAAATTAAAATTTCTTTTTGAAAATATATTGCATTTTTAAAAAATGGATAAAAATGACATAACACCATAGAATTTTTTAAGTTATAAAAAGGATCAAACAGGCCTTATTGAGCTATGGTAACATTTGTTTTATTAACAGAAGTGTCTATTATCAATCAGAAGTTTATGAATAGATAGATTAATAGTTAAAAACAGCGTTCATGCCTTAGCACATCATGGTTGGGTGGCACAGTGCACATCTGTTAACCCATATCCCCAGAGTTTAAATCTCAGTAGGGAATCATAAAATCATCTTTTCTTTGTCTTTTGCCTTTATTAATCAAAGGTCGACTCTTTTTTATAAGCCATATTGTTTTTCTCTATATAATTTGTCACGGTAAAAATCTACTTTTAATGAAAAGCATACCAACAACTAAAACAAGCCTGCAAAATTATTAATGCAAATTAATCTAATATTAAGTATTAATAGACCTATTATTTTACCATTTTTAAAATTTAAATGTATAGTCCTTGATGAGATTTTCGAGAAGGGCTATGAGTCACTAAAGAAGCATTAATATTAATTATTAATCAATAATATTACTATTATTAGAATATTAGGCTAATATCATATTATGCGTATATTTTTAATATTTTCTGATCTTACTTATAAAATATTGTAGACTGTAGATCTATTAGGCCTACTAATTTCTATTACCTACCTAAAAACCTACATTTACATAATTAAAGTAAGGTATCAAATAGTAACTATCCAGTTTTAGATACATAAAATTATTTTAAAATTGGCCAAAGTCAAAGCTAGTAATGTGAAATGTGACAGAAACCCTAGCCTACCACCCTGTCATAGTCCAATAACTTCATAAGTCAATGGGACGATTATAGATACCAGTGTCTGATAATGGAATCCTCTTCAAAAAATAAACCAGGAGTGATCTCCTCTTAACTTTCTCGAATCTAATATATAAAGTTCAATTCTGTATGTTTGTAAAATGTTTGTAATCGAGGATTACAAAGGAATATATAAAAACACTATACTTCCATTGAGTCAAGTTTTAAATGTCTAAAATGCTCATGGTCTAAATATATGAGTTAAAAAATTAATATTGAAAGTGTTTTATACAGTTTTCATTTAGCATACTTAGAATAATAATTTTCAATATGCACATTAAATAAACATTTTTTTTTTAAATGTATCAATGTTTACAACATTTCTAAATGTGTCTGAAATACATTTGCATTTAGTCCTTTAGCTCTCATTACATCCCTTGACTAGGAAAACACAGTTACTTCCCAGATACTGCTAGTATTCTTATATGAAACAACAGGGGTTGGCAATTCAGGATATTGACAATATTTTTAATCCATTTTTAAATACTTAAACTTTTTAAAATAGAATAGAATCTCATAAAAAAAAATTGCACACAAAGTGAACGCCAAATAAAATGTGCATAATAGTGCGGGCTATTATTCGTAGCAGTGTTTCTTCCAGACTTTTTTCTCCGGGGGGGCACTTGAAATCTTCGGGGGGGCGGTAAACTTTCTTCGGGGGGGCGGACACTGTTAAAAGTATATATTTTCTATATAAATTATATAAATTTCATTTCGTTCGGGGGGGGGGCGGTAAAAATTTTTCGGGGGATGCCTGGAAGAAACTCTGATTCGTAGGGGCCTACTTTATAAATTCACATGCGTTTTTTTTTTTTTGAGAAATCGGAAAATAGTGTAAATTACTACTTCCGGTCAACAGAAATTACTCAAAATATGATAGAAGGCAGAGAATTGGAACTTTTACTTAAATGTGAAATTTCATTCATCCATCTGAAATAGTACTCAAGTTATAGGCTTTTGAAAAATTGAAAGTAGAAAAAGTTCCACTTCCAGTTATCGGAAATCACTCAAAAGTTGATACGCATCTACGATTTTGATATAATACTTATATATGAAACTTCATCAACCTAGCAGTAATGGTACTCAAGTTATTGTGTTTACACACACACACAGAGACAAGTTTGCAAAACAATGTTTTTCCCACTCAGGGAGCTGTAAAACGTCTAGATTTGCATCTCGATTTTTTTTTTGCACAATTACAAGACTTTCTCTATACTTTGTATATATGAGAAAGTAAAAAGGGGTGTTGGGTTGTTAGTAGTATTGTAATCTCGACTAATTTTATAGTTAGAAATTAGGGTTAGGCATATGGTAGGACCAGGGTTGGGGTTAGGGACAGTGTTAGCATTGACATTAGCCAGCCAGGTGTGAATTTAGTTAACTACCAGTAACCTAACACCCCTTTTTGAAAAAGATTCTGTTATCGGACACCGGTGTAAACATTCTCTCAGCCAATGTCTTGACCCTTATTTGAAGTTTTAACCATAGGCCTATTAAATGACTAATGACTAATGTAATAAATCATAATCATAATGAGATGAATGTTATGAAACAAAATCTAGACATCTAGTTCTAGATCTAGATCTAGTTTTCTAGACCTAGATCTCTATACCAACTTTTTTTTTACTGTGCAGTGTAAAATTTAAAATAAAATTACTATCATAAAAAAGTAAAAAAGCTTTTAAAAAAGCCTCATTGACATTTTAATTTGAATTATTTGAGAGATAAAAGCTAAAATAAAACGTTTTTAGTCATTCTAGTACAAAACAACACATTAAAAATGTTTCAAACTGTAAAATTGTGTATCTAATTATGCTTTAAAGTGCAAAATATTAAAAAGTTCCTTATGAGGAACGGGTGTTCGCTATTCGGAACAAATGTAAAAAAGGTGTTCGCTATTGGGAAATACAGACACATGCAAAAAGTGGAAAGTAAAATCTAAAATGCGAATGAATACAAGGATGAATAGCCTATTATTATTCTCCTATAAATAAAGAGTATTATGGTCGATTCGGTTTTTTTCTAGGTGAATTAATGTGAATTATTAATGAGACGAGGTGCCCTCATAGCGAACATGTCGCATTTTTTGTGTATCGGTGTTTATTAATGTCACTTTACTCTATATACAAATTTCAGAATGATTTTTTTTTTATTGAAAATGTATCAATAGCTAGCACACTAGTAAACTAAGCCAATTTAGCATATTTTAACTTTCTGTACAAAGTCATTATTACTGAAAAAAATTCCAAAGTCAGGTCAGCCTGTGGCACCCTCCACTGAACATGACTAAATAAAGGAAAAAATTTAAAATATTTGACCTGCGACCTTCATTGAAACAGAATTTACTTTTTTTTTAAATTACTAGTAAACATGTGCTTAATCTTACCCAATAAAAGTAATTTAAAAAATTTGAAAATTAATTTTAATTAGGCCTACTGTTGTAAAGTGAGATAAGCAGCTTAATAAACAGCATTCTTGAGGGGGTGTGGCACATAGTAATTATAACTTTACGAGCCGACCCGCGGCGTATTATATGTGCTGCACATTTAAAATCAAACGGGCTGCCTTGTCGAGACTATAGATTCCTAGTTCGCATCTTCAGACTGATCTGAGGTTGTCACGGAAAAAATTTTCCTGAACTGCCTTGGGTCGCAAATAAATTAAATTAATGGACACCAGCGAGAAAAGTCTCAAAGGTATTTGAGAGGTGTATAAATTCATTTAAAAATCATGCACAGCGTAGTTACAATTAATATGGTTATAAAATCCTGTCTATCTGGTTTTTTTCGGACTTTACTAAAGATTGAATGTATTTGATGTTTATAATATTTTCGGTAACTAAATAAAAATTTTAAAAAAAAGCAAAAACAATTTGGTTTTCACGTGTAATGGCGACATAAACAATGGCATCCTGGATAGGCCGCCATTGATTTTATTGTACACATTGTAAGCTAAAAATAGAAAACTAGGTCATGGGGTTTTAAATTAGCATTATTATTTAAAAACTTGATCTGCAAAGTTTTGTAAACAAATAGTTATCGATCACTAAGTTACTGTACAGCCAATCAATATTTGTCTTACGAAAGTGAAACATCCGGTTATAACTTAGGCTTGATGAAAATAAATAGAAATGTAGCCTTAAACTCAACAAATTATTTTCAAGTTCTCTGGATTTGCAACTTTTATAGCATTTATTCTAAAAATATAAAATTTCTAAATTAATTTTAGGCTTAAGTTTTTATTTTTTATTTTTTTTTACGGTCTAAATCTAAAAAAGCACGATTTTATTCCATGTCAACAACATTGGGGACGGAATCTCGTCAGCTCGCTCGCCTCCATTAAGTAAGCTTCATATGAGCTAGTACCATCAAACAAAGTATTTAATATTATTGATCTATATTTTTCATAGGTAATGTTTAAATGGAAAAATAATGAAATTTAAAATTTAGTGAGAATCGCTAGAGGTAAAACTCCATTTCAGCGTATTTTATTCTCCGTTGCTTGTTTACCTCCAGTTGAGCGTATTTTATTATAACAACCGAAACACACCAAAACATTAAGAAAACACGATTTATTTTTTTGTATTGTATTTTTGTTTTAGCAAATGAATAAAAATGAATATTTAAAAAACACGACTTGTTTATTTGTATTGTACTTTTTAAAAAAGGCATTTGTCTCATGGTGAAACTGATACACTGTTAATCATTCTGTTTTATATTTTTGTATTTATGCAATAAATGTACAAACTCTGTGTTTTTTAATTTGACAGTTTTGCTAAAACTGAAAAAAATATTTTACTATAGAGTTGTATGTTATTTAAATTCATAGTAAATCTACCATCCTTCCTTTTTTTGTATGAGTAAATTTCTGACTTTAAAAAAAAAATTGATGAGGGGGTCGTCCATAAATGACGTCACACTCGTAAGGGAGGGGGGGGGTCAGCAATTTTGTGACGGTGTGTGATGAGGGGGTGGGGGTTTCAGATGGTGTGACGTCCCTTTTTTGCATTATAAAAAAGCAATGTTAGAAAAACAAGATTTAGCCGTTATTTCGCGTTTTAGAAAACGGTTTTAATAAATTGCAATATGAATTGATCAAAATACTCTATGTTGACAGAGTTCTGACAAGATTTTGGAAAAATTATCGATGTTTTAAGAAAAAAACAGAAATTTTGAGGGGGGGGGGGGTTGTCGGCTGAGGTGTGACGTCATTTTAGGGGGGGTCTGACTTTTTGTGACGACGTGTAACGGCCCACTTTCGGCAGCATCATTGTGCCTTTTAATACTTTTATTCAGTTTAGTTGAAATTGGAACACTTAATTGTACAAAGTGTGCATCTCTATTTTTGTAACCAGCAAACAAATCACTTCAGTCAGTCTCTTTGTTGTTTTTTTATTCATTTATTAAAACAAAAATACAATACAAATAAATAAGTCGTGTTTTTTAAACATTCACTTTTATTCATTTGTGAAAACAGAAATACAATACAAAAAATAAATCGTGTTTTTCTAATGTTTTGGTGTGTTTCGGTTATTATAATAAAATACGCTCAACTGGAGGTAAAAGTATACCAAGTTACAAAACCTGCGATCTAACTTGTAATTCATACTTTCAGTTTAAAAAATTATAAATACGATCATGAATGAAGAAAGCGTAAATATTTTATTTTTAGGTGTGACATAAAAAAAAACAGTCATAAATCTAGCCAAATGATTGGATTCTTGCGCGGCACATATTTTTCTGCGCCTCGTTTTCACCAAACAAGATCATAATAAAACGAGCCGACCCGCAGCGTATCATACGCCGCTATTTAGTTGTTTTATTTTCAACTTTTCAGTAATTCATAATTTGTGAATTCGACAGTACCAATGCTCGCTCTCTCTCTCTCTCTCTCTCTCTCTGGTGACCAGACCAGGAAAAAATATTCGGAAATTTTCTTCAGACAAGAACTCAATGTTTAATCTTTTTTTCTTGTCGCAGTTAATTACTGTACTAATTGAATGTTTAATTAAGCTAATATTTTAAATAAAAGAAGTTTGTTACTCTTACACTCTAAAATAACAATGAAAGTCTTGTCGCAATTTAATATTTAATGTTTACCTCAGGGGTCTCCAAACTACGGCCCGCGGGCCGGACGGCCCGCGATGTCCTCTCATCCGGCCCGCGGAGATCTTTTTGTCCACGGAAAAAATGTTTGTTAGTGATGGCTGAGGAACTTTGCCCAGACATACCTGGAAGAAACTGGCCCCCGAACTGAAATTTAATAGTTAATGCGGCCCTCGGACTGAAAAGTTTGGAGACCCCTGGTTTACCTTATAAACAACCTTAAAAAAATATTATTTACCATGTAACAAAAGTGGCAATTAAGTTTTATTTTAACATTTAGCTAATTTAAACTATACTAATCTAGTCCAAATGTGTACACTTGTTTTGAATTTTAAATTATGCCTTATATTTAATTTAAAGATTGGCATGGTAAAAATGTTTGTCTTCAACAGTAAACAGCCTAGATTTAGATTAATTATAACGAGCCGACCCGCGGCGTATCATACGCCGCTATTTCGTTGTTGTTTTTTCTACTTTTCAGCAATTCATAATTTGTGAATTCGACAGTACCAATGCTGCCACTGAAAATATTTGCTTTAAAACACCAAAACCCTCCTTTCCCCCCAACCCCCCCCCCCCCCCCCCCCCACGTGAAAGCAGTCTCCTCTTAGTTACCTCCCATAAGTTTAAAATCGTTTCAAACTAAATCATCTGCCCCTAATAGCCGTCATTAAACCCGTCTCTACGATTGTAAACATTTAGCGTGAACCACAGCTATGTGGGGATGGGGGTGGTAGCGATATGCCTAGAGAGGCGGAGAAGGGACTGCTAGGCGCGCTTAAAGCTTGGTGTTTTCTAGGGTCTCCAAGAAGAGAATTATATATATAGATTTGAAAGTTTTAGGTTCATGTGATGGAAAATGAAATTGACCAGATTAGTTAAAACCATTATAATAGCCAAACCACATCGTTATTCATGATTTTGGAACAGCTGTAAATTGTTAGGTCATCGATAAATGACGTCACGTTTTTTTATTTGACGATTTTTACCTCCCCTCTATGCTCCGTCACAAAAGTCAGACTCCCCCCCCCCCTAAAATGACACACAACTCAGCCAACAACCGCTCCCCCCCCCCTCCTCAAAATTTAATTTGTATTTTTTTTTTAATCACAGTTTTTTTTTCAGAAATATTGACTGAGCTCGACCAACATAGAGTATTTCTAACATTACTTTTTTAAAATACAAAATTACGACGTCACACAATCTGACCCCCCCCCCCTCCCCCCTACGAGTGTGACGTTATTTATGGAAGACCCCTTATTAACAGTCTGTGTCGTATTTTTTCTTCCACAAACAAGACATAGTAGAAGTCGCGTTGCGTTCAGTTTTTTTTAATCTGTTGGCCTACAGCTATTTGAAATTGACTGTGACATCATTTTAATCCCCCCCCCCCTTCCCACAAGCAGCACCAAACACGTACTCGGGGTCATGGTGAGGTCACAAGAGCCACCGAAAAAGTCGGATTTCCGCTCAAATTTGGAAAAGTCACATCCCTGCTCTGTGGGTGCCTCGCGCGACTGCCCCGTGTTCTGAAAATTCTCCTTTTTATATCACTATCACCAAAGGATTATGGGATATCGACACTAAGGCCAAGGACTATAGGGGGGATCCAAAACACGAGTTCCACGCACGAGCACAGTTGTGATCACCGTCACTTGAGTCTGGTGGAAAATTACTTAAGACACAGGTTCCCAAATTAAGAGGTCGTCAACTAATGCATTTATTAAAAACAAGTTAATTAAAAAAGTCTAGTGACATTTGTGCGCAATTTCCTTATGTTATCGAAAAATAGCTCTGACGTATAATGTTGGGGTGCATTCAAGCTAGAAGAACAATCGGTTTGTAGGTGTTTATGTAATTTTAAAATTTGTGACCGAACGAGAGAATATTTTTGAAAACTTTCTTCGGCAATATTGTTCTAAATTATGACAGGAATCGATTGGTACATGTTTCAAGTCGCTAAGTGGTCTGGTTGCCGAGATATGGGCCAAAAACTGCTTTTTTTTTCGAGATTTTTTTGGCTTTTCTGGGAAATCCATGAAAGAAACCCGGAATTTTTATGGCCTATGTTCATCCTCGTAACTTGCTTAACATAATTGCTTTTGGAACTAGTCATCGATATTGCTTCGTTGAGGAGGAGATACGACTTAAAGCTGCGGACACACATTCATCCATCCATCCATCCAGAAATGACGGGTTAATAAACGCAATTCTCCAGAATGGAAATTGCGCTAAAAATATTTAAAAACTGCAATGAAATCGGCTTTACACATAGATCTACAAGCTTTAATACTAAACTAGCATAAGGAATAGAGAAGCCTAAACACATATTGTGCGAAGTTGTTCGCAGCCATGACTTTACGCTTTACGAACAGAATTTCTTCCAGGCATCTCTGG